ATGTAAAAAGAAGTACACTTCAGCATATTTATTAAGAGTACTTATTACAGAAATAATATTTGAAGAGTTTGGTTCCAAAATGCGATAAACGCCATTTAAAAAAAAAAAAAATTAGTTACTGCAAAAATCAGTATTGTATCTGGTTGGTATTGAAAAGTCAATGTTTAATTTTAAATAAAATGCGATATCCGCCGTGTTATTCTGTCATGTTTTCTCCCTTTCTTTCCAAACCGCGACAAACGCCAGTCTCCCTTCTCTGCAGAATGCGATATATCCGCTCTCAACCAATCACAATGCACCATTCCACGCAATGTAAACAGTAACGGCAGCGCCTTAAATACACCCGGCTTCCTAGTTTTTCTTATCTATTTTTTACTTTTCGATCAACAAACAAACAAAAAAATGAATAATTTTGATGGCATTGATGAACCTGTGGTTGTTTCTGCGGTGGGTAAGAAACGTAAGGCATCGAAATCGAATCATTTACGTGAGGAGATTAAGAAGATGAGGCACTCGGGAGGAGGAAAAATGTTTTCAATCTTCTTTACAGTTCTTAATAAAAATGTTATACTAATAAACTTACGTTGTTGTGTATTTTCAACAGTTTCAATATGAAAAAAAAAACTTTTATATTGATTCAATGGATTAATTGCATTTTGAATTTAAAAAAAATGGATTTATTGCATTTTGGGGAAAAAAATAATCCGTTTTTATAATTAATCTTTGAAAATCAAAACCTGGATTTAATTCTTTTTTTGTTATGACCTACAAATGCTATGTGAAAGTTTGAAACAGAAAATAGTGGTTTTCATCTTTCCACTTTCTTGGTAAAGAAAACACATTTTTACTCAAATTAATCTAAATGGATTTATTGCGTTTTGGAACCAAACTCTTCATTTATTAAAATAATACACTTAAGTGTGAACTGAATGTAATGTTGTCAGACAAATACTGTAATTGCATGTTGATTGCAATTCAATGAAAATGTATTACAGTTTAAATCCATACAAGCTGAATTTAAGTAAATCGTAATATGTCATTTTTTAGTTACTAACTTTTATTGTCTTTGAAATATGGTTATGTGTACTGCTGAATGTACAGACAAACATTTATGGCAAACTAATATACTTTAATGTCTATTGAAACTTGTTTGAAATTTTCAAAATTACGCGTTCGTAATGACGAAGTTCCAGTTTAGTACATTTAAAATATATTAACTTAAAATGTTATGTCAAGTAACACACGACAGTTACAATTATAATCAAGAACTTAACATGCAACACATCAAAACAAGTGCACTTCTTAAAAGCATTACAAAATATTATTAATACATGTACAACTTTTCATTTGGCATTATTACAAAGTGCATGTTTAACACAGTGACTCTTTAAGTGCACTTAAGTCTACTTAATATTATTTATTTTAATAATATTATTTTATCTCCAAGCTTTTAAAAAAATACTTTTAAGATTTGAAGTACTCTACAATTAAGCCCACTTTTTCACAAGGCTAGACTCTTGCGCTCTTAAAGGTGGGTGTTTGAACCGCATCCCTTTTTAAAATAAACAGTTGCATTCATGACAGGTTTTCAAATTCGTGTTGGATGCACTGTCATTGAGTTTTTCCGTCTTCCCACAAGCTAAACATCTTTGTTCTGTTCCAGTGAAATCTTCTCACTAGGGGATGAGATGTGCGGACCGTCTCAGGGCTAAGGGTGAAAAGTAGAGTTGGAATACATCTGAGTGAGAGTTGGATAATGAATTGTGGTGAGAAAAGTCTCAGGTTTAGGAGCAGAGGATGTTAACTCTTTCCACTCATAGGGTGATAGAGATGTGATGTGACAGATGCCACTATAATGACTTCCTCACAGCATTGTTTTTCTGCATTAGCATACAGCTTTCCCTTTATCTCACCATGTGATGGTACACTGTAGATGTGGTTTGTGCAGCAGTGTCCATTGAATGGTATCATCACATGGATGACTTTTTTGAGGGGGTGGACCTTAATTATATCAAAATTAAAATATCAAAATTTCATTCACCCTCATGACGTTTCATACAGCTCTGGGTAGGGTTGCACCAGCATTTTGTAAGATCCCACTACATACTTAATACGTACTAGTTAGTTTTGTAACCAACTGTATACCTAATTTGGGTGTACCATTTGTTCTTAAAGCAAAACTTAACTAGCAGGTTGTAAGCTTTACTTAACCTGTCAACTGTCACCCCCCTTTTTTTGAATAGACATGAAAATGCACATTTCGAACATAAATGGTTGTAATTCAAGAATGCTTTGGAATATAGACGTAAGATTGGTCTTGTTTTAAAGAAGACGTTTGGCAGATTTATGTAGAAGTTAAAACAATTAAGAAAGTGAAACAGAAAAAAAGTTATAGAAGTTTGAGTTTATGGAAATGTACAATGTAAAAAATTAATTATTCATATTTTATATAAAATATATATTTTCAAAACCTGGGCTACTCTAAAACTGCAGAAAAATCAAAGCCAAAAATCTGAACAAGTTGTGTTTCAAATTTTAGGTTGATATCTCAAAAAATGAGCTTTCAGTAAGATTTTGTTTGGGCGCAGTACCAAACTTTTTCACGAGGGGACAACCAGACTCCATTACTACCCATATAAGGGCGCCTCCATTTCCATATGTGTTTTGAGTGATATGAACCATTATTTACACAATTTTCATACAATTTATGAAGTAGAGATCCTATTCAGAAGTAGTATGGGAAGTTTGGCAGATTTTGATATGAATTCAACCTCTAATAAACACATACAAAGAACACGCATGTGCGTCATAGCTTCCTGCCACATCACAAATGGTGAATTTATTATTTTTTTCTTTATATTTAAAACATTTTCAGACCTTTTTTTCTAAAATAATTGAATGGATGCTATCTTTTGAACTCTTGGCATGAAAACAAACTAGGTTTCTACAATTTCTTTCATGATTTTTCATGTTCATTGCTATTTCAAAATAAAGGTCTGAACACGCCTTAGGAGTATGAAAATATTCTTGTTGCAAATTGATAAATTACGGCTCCTCTGTAATTTATTTTGAAAATCAATCACCAAATATGGAAACTAGAGATTGTAAGCTTTCAAATGATATATAGTTTGTCAATATTACTTAAAGGTTCTCTAAGCGATCCTGGGTGACGTCACTTCTTGTTGACGTTCGAACTATTGTCAAACAAAACGGAGGCTAGCTAGACCCTCCCTCCTCCTCATCCGCACACTAACCCCCCAAACCACACCCCCAAACCCTTCTTGTCGGTCATTGGCTGGAACAGTTTGTTATGTTTTGGGGAGCGGGTCGCTGCAGTTTGTTTTTGGTGCTGTTTGTGAAGCATGGGCTGTCTACAGAGATCGCGTTTCTTTACAGTGTGTTCAGGGGACAGGCAGCCAGCGGATAGTGAGGAGATGTTTGCTGTATGTGACAAAAAATGTTTTGGCCTAAAAAACACATGACATCGCTTAGAGCACCTTTAAGGTTTTTACTAAGATATTAATGTTTTAAAAATATAATGGCAAACGTCCCACCTGTGGGACGGTGACAGTTGATTAAAGAAATCAATATAATATGACGTTTACATGAGGCCTTCAAAAAGCATTTATATACAGAAGTAGTGTTTGATAAATCAATTTAACCATTTCAGTTTATCCCGTTATGGTTCAAACTTATTTAGCCTCAACTGGAAACGTTAATAAATATTTTTTTCATTCTAATATGGTACATAAATTGAAAACGATTGTTAATTTAATGTTTATAATTATATAATGTAGTACTTGTGCATTTTATTTACATTTTCACAAATGTATTTATTTATTTAATTATTAATGAATTATTTAGTACTTTATTAAGAATAACTATATATTTATAAATGTTTTTTTCCCCCCAAATTTATTATCAGTTGCTTTATTACAAATAGTATATTGAAATATGTAAATAATATTCAGGAAATACGTTTAGGAAAATGAATTCTATTTATGTAACATGCAAATTTATAATTTTGTATTAAATATTTCAATTATGTAATAATTTATTACCAATTAGTATGTAAATAATATTCAGGGGATACGAATAGGAACATTTATATTATTGATATTCAAAATGAATACAAATGATAAAAACATTTGCAATTTTTTAAAATAATTTATTAAGAATTAGTATTTTGAAATATGTCAATAATATTAATGGAATAAATTAAGGAAAATGTATAATATTACATTTATTTACACATTTCTTTATTGCTTTTATTATTTAATTATTAAGCCAGCAAATATGCAAATAATATTCAGGAACTGTATTTAAATTAAGGTGAGGTGTTTAGATCAGGTTTGTTCTGAAGAGCTGCTACGAACCCTCTTACTCACATAATGTAGGATGTAAATTGAATATGCGCATATTGAAATTGCACAAATGAGTGCTACGGCTGAGGGAAAGATTTTCAGTGTGACTTCAATTTCAGGTCAGCCTTTTTGTCCTAGCATTGTTTTGTTTATTCTGCATGGCTACGCATTGTGAAAAGTAGTTACTGAAAAAGCTACTGTCCTCTGAAAACAACTGAGCTGCTGTCCAGCAACTAAAAACTGAAGTTAAATTAGCCGTGTTGCTACTTTTAGTTGGTTAAGGACATTTTCTCTGAAATGGCAAGGGAGGCAGTGTATCCTCAGAAAATTGAGATGAGAAAAAAAAATCAATATTGCTCAAAATAAAATAAACAAGAACTGTATCGCCCTAATCTCTTTCATAATCTTACTGTAGAGTGCATTACCGTGGTATGATGGATTCATATACTGTAGAAATGGCGCCCAGGCTGCCAGATAACAATGAAATCCGGCTTTTGGCTAGACCAGCAAGACCGACGGACGTGGATGTTTAGGTCGAAGTACTAAGCAATTGAAGTACTGTGAGATAGTTGTTTCTCCTTCTCTCCGATCACTAGTTTTACATTTATTTATTTATTCTTTCTCTTACATTCTCAGATCCTTAAGGAATTCAAAGACGAAGATTGGAACATGGGAAACATTGTGTTCACGATGACCAACAGGCGATACGGCGAGAAATGCATCGCTTACGCCGAGAGCCACGACCAGGTACTTCTGCCCGGATACTTTCATTTCTGAGGAAATCTAATCAATGTGTCATTGGGAATGGTAATTGGTGTCAAAACAGGTTGTAGTCCTCTAGGGACTAGGGTGAAATGAGAAATGAACACATCCGCCCTGTTTGTACGCATGCTAACGCCACGACTAGGTGCGATTTGCTGTTGTTTTTCTCCTGCCTTCTTTTGTTCTCTTTGTTTTTCCTCTGTGTTCTGTTTCCAAGGTCTGGGAATAACGATTTGTGCTACTCAATATGAGACACTTGAGTGAGTCTGAGTTGAAACGTGCTAAAATTAGTAAAACTTTACTTTGACACTTCTTCAATAGATTGACTGTTTAGCATTGCAATAAAGTTTCCATTGAACGGGCAGATGTGCGAAAGGATGTCTTAAAATATTAACGGATGTTGGGACCTTGGCCTAACGGTTGTAACTTATTGAGCTGTGGTGCTTTACTGTATGTATGTGATGGTGGTTCAAATACAAAACATTTCTTGATCTAGTTTGTCCCTCTTAACGGATTCATTTCGATTCTATCAAGCATCACTATTGCGATTGCTCATACTTTGGTTAGTTCACCCAAACATTTAAATTCTGTCATTAATTACTCGCCCTCATGTTGTTCCAAACCCATAAGACTTTTGTTCGTCTTCGAAACACAAATGAAGATCTTTTTGATGAAATCTGAGAGCTTTCTGTCCCTCCATTGACAGCTACGCAACTACCATTTTGACGCTTTATAAAGTTCATAAAGAGATTGTAAAACTAATCCATATGAATTGAGTGGTTTAACCCAAATTTTCTGAAGAGACACGATCACTTTATGAAGAACCGATTGAATTTAGTCTTTTATTCACATATAAACATTGATCAGTGAACATAAACAGAAGCTCAACCGAACCTGCTTGATGCGTGAGAATGAACCTCATTGGCTCTTGCTGAAGCTCAAACGTGCTGCGTAACACAAGAATGAACCTCATTGGTTCTTGCTGAAGCTCAAACGTGCTGCGTAACACGAGAATGAACCTCATTGGTTCTTGTCTAAGCTCAAACGTGCTGCGTAACACGAGAATGAACCTCATTGGTTCTTGCTGAAGCTCAAACGTGCTGCGTAACACGAGAATGAACCTCATTGGCTCTTGCTGAAGCTCAAACGTGCTGCGTAACACGAGAATGAACCTCATTGGTTCTTGCTGAAGCTCAAACGTGCTGCGTAACACGAGAATGAACCTCATTGGTTCTTGCAGAAGCTCAAACGTGCTGCGTAACACGAGAATGAACCTCATTGGTTCTTGCTGAAGCTCAAACGTGCTGCGTAACACGAGAATGAACCTCATTGGTTCTTGCAGAAGCTCAAACGTGCTGCGTAACACTAGAATGAACCTCATTGGTTCTTGCTGAAGCTCAAACGTGCTGTGTAACACGAGAATGAACCTCATTGGTTCTTGCTGAAGCTCAAACGTGCTGTGTAACACGAGAATGAACCTCATTGGTTCTTGCTGAAGCTCAAACGTGCTGCGTAACACTAGAATGAACCTCATTGGTTCTTGCTGAAGCTCAAACGTGCTGCGTAACACGAGAATGAACCTCATTGGTTCTTGCTGAAGCTCAAACGTGCTGCGTAACACGAGAATGAACCTCATTGGTTCTTGAGGAAACCCAAACGTGCTGCGTAACATGAGAATGAACCTCATTGGTTCTTGCTGAAGCTCAAACGTGCTGCATAACACGAGAATGAACCTCATTGGTTCTTGAGGAAACTCAAACGTGCTGCGTAACACGAGAATGAACCTCATTGGTTCTTGCTGAAGCTCAAACGTGCTGCGTAACACAAGAATGAACCTCATTAGTTCTTGCACGTCATGCGAACATGCTTGAGCTTCCGTTTACCACAACTGATGTGTGAATTGATGAATGTTTATATGTGAATAAAAGCCTACATTCAATCTGTCCATCATATAAAGCAATCGAGTCTCTTCAGAATATTTGGACTAAACCACTCAATTCATATGGATTAGTTTTATGATCTCTCTATGAACTTTTTAAAGGGTTAAAGTGTTGCTCAGATTTCATCAAAAAGATCTTTATTTGTTTTGCGACGATGAACGGAAGTCTTACGGGTTTGGTACGGCATGAGGCTGAGTAATTAATGACAGCATTTACATTTTTGGGTCAGCTAACCCATTAGGCTACGGTGCAGTTATACCATCGATGCTAATTATCGCCAATGCCAGTTTTGCGTCATTACAATCAGACCAGTATTCAGCCGTGCTTTTTATGCTCCCACATGCTGTTTCTTAGTTCAAGACAAATAGTTGCTGTTTCCTATTTCCCCCCCAATAACAAGAGCAACCAATCAAAAGCTATTCATCAACCTGCAAACAATTCACCTAATGTGGTGTTCGTGCTCACATTGTTGATCTGCCTGTTCTGTCAGGCCCTGGTGGGAGACAAAACGCTGGCCTTCTGGCTGATGGACAAGGATATGTACACCAACATGAGTGCTTTGATTCCAATGAACTCCGTTATTGATCGGGGGATCCAGCTCCACAAGATGATCCGACTGCTCACCCACAGCCTGGGAGGGGAGGGCTACCTGAACTTCATGGGTGAGTCCTTGCAGATGCATTCATTTTTGAAAAACTAGTCCGTATTTGGATTTCGTGTGCAAGATGTTGGTGCATTATCTTTGCAACAATGTAACAACAAAAAACAAGTGATAAGAAAACCACCCAAAAAAAGTCCTTTGATAATATTAGCCAAGGTTTCTTGCACCAAAAAAACAGACATAATTTAGTTACTTAGATCTACTTTCCCACTCTCTCTTTGATTACTAGAATTAAATGGCTGTTTTCTGTGTTTTTGTAACATTTATTAGATATGTTTGATAAACTATTGTCTAACATAAAATTAACCTATGAAAAGTTGTTTTTGCTGTCTTTGAACAAATTGTGATTTTAGCCTGTCCCACCTAAGAAATCTTGACCTTCTTGATTGTATCCAACAATTAAAATAATACAGCATAATTTCACATGATCTATAATATAAGTTTATCAATAACTACAAACTATTATTTGAACCTTACCTTGCTAGTCCCTAATTTTGGCAAAATATGCAAACCTGTTAATGGCTTATTTTCTTTTTTCCACACATGCCTTCAATTCTAAAACCTGCAAGATGTTTACTAGTACATATGTGTTTTTGTTGATGTTAACCATTGGCTTGACACGTCAACAGTGGATAATTACAGCTGTTTGTAATATTTATGAAGTATTCATACTTCTCCACATTATTGCTGTAAGTGGTTGACAGTCAGCATGGTCAATAGTCAGCACAAACAGTGTACTAGCCCCACCTGCTGACCAGGTGTTGACGCTCTACTACCCTTATTACCGTATGAATCTCCAATAAACCGGTTCAGATTAAAAGAGACAGACTTTTTCCCCAGCCAAGGCGATATTCATATAACACACACACACACACACAACCCAAACCCCACAGATTACCTCGTGTTTGTGAGCATATGGGCAGATTCCTCCATGATGCACACTTGAGGTCTGTTATTGTTTACTGCTGTTCTTGTTCTGCCAATAGCACTAACAGTAATGACAGCTACAGATGTGGACAGCCTGATGCGGACACTTTTTCTACTCTCTACTTGTAGTATATCTGTTAAAAGCTTTTGTCTAGTGAGTGAAAATCCTTTCCTAATGGTGTTGTGCCCCAGCTGAATATATATTTTTCAGTCGGTTAAGCCTCTAACAGCCCAAAGGCCTAGAAGAATGTGAAATGTAGAGACATCAGGTATGTTTGCTTGCAAGAAAGCATACTTGGTTTTAAAGATTGTGAAGTGCAGACATCATACTAAGAGCCTTTTTTCTTTTGTCAAAAACAAATATATATATATATATATATATATATATATATAGCCTATATATAATATATATAGCCTATATATATAATTTTATATTTTAATTTTAATTATATATATATATATTTTTTTTGTTTTGTAGTAAAGTCCAGGATGTGAACAGTGAGATGTAAAAGTGAATGCCCTCTAAAGAGGACAGAATTTTCTGGGTCTCAGGATCATTAAAATGTATCTGGACTTGAATTATTCCTCCCAATTAAACTTTTAGTACAACAGGGATTAAGTACTACGCTTTATCCAAGTTTAGACATGCTTTTTCCTGAAATAAATGACATAAAATGTCCCAAAAAATAATTAAAAGCTTCAAATTAATCATCAAATGGGAATTTTAGGTTTTTGCCTCATTAATTGCTTAGTTAATAAAAAAAAATCCCTTAAAGTTGACTTTTCATTGTCTTTATAAAATGAAGGTAACCAATAAGCCAAAGCGAGCGAGAACACAAAACATGGTAAATACAGGATGATGTGTCATGTCAATGGATCAATGGCTGTGAAGTCATTTAGCCAGTGCAAAGCAAGAACAAATTGTTTGAGCAAGCAAATCAATTTGAGCTACCCTCAGCGAAGCCCATCTATTTACTCTCTAGTGGCAGAAGATGCTTGCAAAGTAAAAGGCCACAAAGAAATGACGGCCATGTTTGCAATGCAGAAAGAAGATGAGTGCTGTGAGGCAGAGACTCGACATTATAACACACTCGCGAGACGGCAATGAAACGGCTCAGTGGTTTCATCATTAAATCAGCAGGTGGAGAGTGAGATGAATGTACGCTTGACTTTCAGAGATGGAGGAAAAACTTCTGCATCACCTTCAGAAGCACAGACTGATGTCTGACTGTGTTCAAACTGTGCTTTTGATCAGTCAAAACTGCTGAAGAATTCAGTGGATTTAACATTAAGATAAAACGGCATGCCAAAAATTGACTAATTAACTCTTTCCTTGACAGCGTTGTTTAAAAAATTTGCCTGCCACCGGCAGCATTTTTTATCATTTTCACAAAAGTTTCGTGGCCCCCAGAATATTTTGTTGTATGAATATCTGAACATGCAATACGTCAAAAGATAGAACAGAGCCTCTGCTTTTAAACAAAAAAGCTGTTTTATTCTAGCCTGATGCGTTCTTTTTTTGAAGAAAAAGCTGAGAAAATTGCATTTTTGTCAAAGACTACATCTGATCAAAACAGATTGAGTAGATCGAGTCCATCAACACCCCTAATGCTTGCACAGTCCTAATAGCTCGTTCTGCGTCGACATTTCATTCGGTAACTTTAGGCAGTTTTGATTTATATGCTGTTTAATGTTGATGATCGTGTTATTTACATATGCATATGCTTGCATATATTGCTTTTTTCTGTTTCTTCTTCACGTGTCTTTTCATCAGGAGATTCAGCTCTCTTTCAGAAGATGCCTAATGGCACCCCCTACCGTATAACAGTGGAAACACAGAAACCATAAATTTCCTTCAATGGCGAAATGCTGTCAGAAAATGCTGTCAATCGCGGGGAGAGAGTTGATAAAAACTAAAAACATTGAGTGAAAATATTGAGGTCATATAAATTGAAAGGGTTATTTCACCCAAAAATGAAAATTCTGTCATTATTTACTCACCCTCATGTCATTCCAAACCTATAAGACATTCGTTTTGTTCGGAACACAAATCTCAATATATTTTTAATGAAATCTGAGAGTTTTCTGTCCCTCCATTGACAGCTACGCAACACCCACTTTCAAGCCCCAGAAAGTTAGTAAAGACTGTTAACTGGCACCCCCCTTTTTTTTGCATAGACATAAAAATCACTATCCAAACTTAAGTGGTTGTAATTCAGGAATGCTTTGGAATATAGACCTATGGCTGGTCTTGTTTTAAAGAAGACATTTTCCAGATTATTGTAGAAGTCTAGAAATGATAAAAAATGAAACAGAAAAATAGTTATATAAGTTTGAGTTTATGAAATGGTGTAATGTAAAAATATAATTATTAATATTTTATATAAAATATATATATTACAAAATATATTTTACTCTAAAACTGCAAGAAAATTAAAGACAAGAATCTGAACAAGTTGTATTCCAAATTTTAGGTTGATATCTAAAAAAATGAGCTTTCAGTAAGATTTTATTTGGGCGCAGTACCCAACTTTTTCACTAGACTCCATTACTGCCCATATAAGGGCGCCTCCATTTTCATAAATGTTTTGAGTGATCTGAACCATGTATTTCCATAATTTTCATACAATTTATGAAGTAGACATCCTATTCAGAAGTAGTATGGGTGGTTTGGCAGTATTTGATTTGAATTCAACCTCTAATAAATGCATAAAAAGACTATGTTATAGCGTTATAGCTCGCAGCCAATCAGAAATCGAGAATCCATACATTTTTCTTTATATTTAAAACATTTTCAGACCTTTTTTTCTCATAAAATGGAATTGGTGTTATCTTTTGAACTCATGGCATGAAAACAAACTGAGGTTTCTACCAATCTTTCATAATTTTTCGTGTTTATTGTTATTTCAAAATAAAGGCCTAAATACTCCTAATGAATATGAAATATTCTTGTTGCAAATTGATAAATTACTGCTCCTCTGTAATTTATTTTAGATAACAGCCACCAAATATGAAAACTAGAGATTTTAAGCTTTCAAATGATATATAGTTTGGCAATATTACTTTAGGTTTTTACTAAGATATTATTGTTTTAAACATGCAATGGCAAATGGGCCCGCCGGCGGGCCCTTGCAGGTTAAGAGTAAAGTAATCCATGTGACTCCAGTGGTTTAACCTCAATTTTATAAAGCTATGCAAGTGCTTTGTTTGCGAACAAAAAAAACATTATGTACAACTTTATTTGTAAAATATTAATCTCTCTTTTTTGCTGCTTTCTCTGGCTTGAAAGTGGTAGTTGCGTATCCTGTCAATGGAGGGACAGAAATCTCTCAGATTTCATTAAAAAGATTTTGAGATGATTAAATAAGGGTAAGTGGGCACATTTACCATTGTTCAGCGAATTTTCACAGACGAAATCAAGTCATTTCAATATTGATTCACCAGATCTGGAGTTTTGCGTGAGATTTTCCTATGCAGATTCCGCAACGTGTCCAATTCAAGTTGGCATCGCGGATTCATTGTGTTGACCAACATGTGAATCCATTCTATGTGAGCTGTGCTTTGTGCATCACTTTACTATTAAAAAAAATAGACAATTCATGCAAAGTATCACAAAAAAGTTCTCAAATTCGTGTAACCCAGTGCAATGGTAATATATAGATCTAAGTTTTTGCCACATACTTACATTTCCCCTGTTTCTCCAAGACAGATTTGAAACCGAGGAGAAAACATAAAAGCGACAGACAATGTGTTTAAACCTGAAATACTGAGCGGGAGAGATAAAGGAAGCGTAATTGACTGTGAGCTTACGGTAGTCATGAAGTCCAAAGTCATTTCCTAAACAAATAACTGTTGGCCTGTTTTGATATTTGTCATGATAAAGGCCCCAGTAACTGTATTTCCATTATAGATTTATTTAACGTTAAGAGTCGACTTGCTTTCAGCTCTAAATGTGTGTTATGTTTGTGTAAGATGGAAGGGGAGGATAAACTACTAAACTAATTGGTCTCTGAAAGCAGGGTTGCATGTGATTCAGCTATAGGTCATCAGGATTAATCCTGAATCACATTTTAA